ATTTAAGATTAAGCCGAGTAAGAGCGTTCTTAATTATTAAGTCGTAGTAGTACTTATAAAGCTAGAAAATCCCGATATTAAGAGGTTATATATAATATATTAAATATAGAATTAACAGAAAAGGTAGTATATTATTCGAGTTAATTATGCTGATAAATTCCGGAGTTTTATAGCTTTTATAATTATTTATAAGTATAAGTTTTTATAACTTGCCTAGTCTATAGTTAGAATTACGAATATAGTACTTTAAGTAAAATATAGTAATCTTATTATCTGTAAATCTACTCTCGCTTTCCTTGATATATATCCCCTTTAAAAGCTCTAGAATAAACTACTTTTATAAGAGACGTTTACCTTAAATAAGAATCATAAGAGGAATCGGTTTTCACTTAGTTATATTAATTATTTCAATAATTATAAGGGATTATCGGTTTTTAGGACTAATAAAGTAATACTACACTTAAATATCAGTTAAAAAGCTATCTAAATAAACATAAGGAATATACCTCTTTAATTTATTTTAGAACAAGTACTTTAAAGCCTCTAGGGCAGTTAACATGAAAGCTGGTCTTATTAAAATTAATAATATCTTTTAGTTTAACTCTTATTCTTTTATAAGTATATCTGAAAGACTTAAACTATTATTTAACTATCTTTTCGTCTTATATTAATATTCGTACTTAAACTAGAGGCTTTATAGTAATCTTATAGAGATTATTCTTCTTTTACTATATCAGGAAAAAATTCTGGCGCCGGGTGCACGTGCCACCCGCTATTTTCGCTGTTTTCGCCGAATAGTCGCGTTTTACGCTTAAGGCGCCTTAAAATATAAGAGGCCGCCGTACGTCGGCCTTAAATAATAAAAGGCCGCCTTATACGCCCTAGGCGCCTTTTATAAGACCCACTTTTATATATAAGCTAGACCTAATTAGGAAAGATATAATATTTTTAATTAAAATTAAAAATTAAAAGTTAAGTTTATTTTTAGATTTTAAACTAACTAAAAACAGTTAGACTAGCGTAGAATTTAACCGAGAATTTAAAAAGACCTGCACTTTCTACGCACGTCCTTAAAACTAGTCTCACTAAGCCTTTGACGCTATAAATATCCACGCTAAAAAATTACTAATAAGCTTATAATTCGATTAGGGTAAATTCTATACAGGGGTGAGTCGCCGCCTTGCCTAATCGGGCGATATAAGCTTAATAATACCCCCTTATAAGGTATATTCTTCTTAGTATCCTTACTAGTAGTATCCTTAGTATTCTTAAGGCTTTTAGTAAGCTTACTAATATACCTTATATAATATAAAAAAATCGGACCTACTTTTATTTTATACGCTAGTCTTAATTAGGCTTATAAGCACCTATAGCGCCCTAGTCGCTTAAGGCGCCTACAGTGCCAGTAAAAATTACTATATACCGCTTTAGGGGTCGCTAGCTATTAAATTAATCGATATATAACTTAAGCTAGAAATCGCGAAAATAGCGCCTACAGCGGCCAGCCGGCGGCTACCTGGAGCCAGATCTTTTTACTGATATACCTTATAAATTAACTCTAGGAAGGATCGATTATTACCTTATTATATTACTGTTAAATAATACAAATTACTCTATAAATCAATTATATAGAAAGCTAAAGTTAATTAGTAATTAATTAGAATATAAACGCGTGTAACGTAGTTTTATAGTAAGCTTAGAGTATCTTATTTTATCTATTATATTATTTTCTAGTGCTTTACTAGCGTAAAGAGCTATTTAAGGTAGATAAGCTAATATTAAAAATCTTCGCTATTATACTTTATTATTCTTAAGGGTGCTCTTAAAGTTATTCTTTTACTTTTCGAAGATATATTTTCAGGTTATTAATTATATTAATAGAGCTATCTTAAGGCTTAATAGCTCTTAGACGCTTTAGAGAGTAAGGAAGCTGAGGCTCTTAAATCAGATAAGTTTATTTATAACTTATTATAACAGGTAAGTAAAAGTATATCTAGTAGTAATATAAAAAAGCTAAAGATTTAGTATAGAGCGTATATAAAATCGTAAAAATCCGTATTTACTTCCGATTCGCACTCGCTTATTCTGACTAAGAGCGAGAGCGATTTTAGGAAGCCTACCGCTAGTCAGCTGACGATTAGAGCTATAAAACTGAATTAAGTGTAGATCGAAAGCAGATAGTTATTATTATACTATATTTATTAATAAGAGTTTACTAGTTGTTTTATAAAGCTTACTTTACTTATTAATAAAAGCTTACTAATATAGATTTAACGTTTTATCTTAAAAGTTAACTTTATTATATTTAACTTATCTGTTTTATAATATAAAGTAATTACTAATTAGTATTAGTATTATACTAAATAAATAATAAGTATATATTAATATATATTAAAATCTAAGGTTTAATTTAAAGGTATTTAAAAGTATATATTATAAAGAGTATCTAAGGGTTAAAATATATATTACCTCTTAAATAACCCTTAGTTTATATCTAAAAGAGGTCTACCCTTTAACTAGGATTACTTATACCCTCTAATTGCCTCTTATATTTCTATAGTATAAGTCTACGGACTAATATACTTTATTACCTTATATTTAAGTTAAATAAGTCTTAAAGCTTAACTAAAAGATTTTTTCCTCTTAAATTAAATATAACTTATTAAATGAAGTATTTAAAAGTAATCTGTTTAATATAAATAATTTAAAAAGTATTAGTTAATAAGTGTATCTAAGAAAGTTTTTTTATAACACGTAAATTACGAGATTTATAATTATCTAAAAAAGAAGTAAGAAAATACTTTAAAACTTTAGTAGTTACCTCTCTAAAAGTGAGTTTATCTTACTCTAATAAGGTACTTACTATAGGGCCTTCAGGAGCCTTTCGGGAGCCCCCTAAGAGCCCTTCAGGAGCCCTTCAAGGTCGGTATTAGTGCCTTAATAACACGACTTAATTTCAATTCCTAATCCTTACTAAATTTCAGTGGGATAAAGGAATCTTATCATTACTTCTGCATCTCGCTTAAGAATCCGACAAAGCTAGACCGTGCGTTGTCATTTCAGGAAGTGACACGAAGTGTTCAAGTGTCTGTTCCGAGCCAAACAGGCTCTTAATAAAGCTAGCTCGGCTACTTTAGGTGATTCTGGTTCTGTAGCTTGCCTTTATCCTCTCAACTGCCGAAAACACCCCTTTCCAGGGTACAGCGCTAAAGCGAGGCGCTCGGGATGCTTAGACGACAGCTAAGTATTTAAAATTTAGTATTCTTCGCTTAGTTACAGCGTCTTACTATCCCCTTAACTGCCGAAAATACCCCTTTCCAGGGTACAGCGCTAAAGCGAGGCGCTAGGGATGCTTAGACGACAGCTAAGTATTTAAAATTTAGTGTTCTTCGCTTAGTTACAGCGTCTTACTATCCCCTCAACTGCCGAAAACACCCCTTTCCAGGGTACAGCGCTAAAGCGAGGCGCTAGGGATGCTTAGATGATAGCTAAGTATTTAAAATTTAGTGTTCTTCGCTTAGTTACAGCGTCTTACTATCCCCTTAACTGCCAGAATCACACATCTACAGTGCATAGCGCTGAAGCGAGGCGCTTAAAATCTGGTAGTTACCTGCACGACAGGGCACGTGCACTAAATCTGAGCCCTGTAAAAAGTATGTTCTGAATAGCAGTTAAGGGGATATAAGAGTCGTATTCTTAACTCTTGTATATTACTTTACTACGAGACTGCCTTGAGTATTAATTTCAAACACATTAAAAAGTCGTTCGTATTTCAAATCTTAATTTTATTGGTTAAGACTATTGTTATACCTCTGGAAGTGGTGAAATAACTAGGTCACAACCGAGGTTCAGAGGCCGCGCAAGTGATTCATTTTGGATTCCGGTCCTTGCTGCTGCGACTGTGTGGGAGTTTGATGCCCCATCTCGAACGTCGGTAGACGTTTCTTCCAGTCGATGCAGAGGGTGGCTGGGGCTCCATTGCCCCCACGACGACTAAACTGAACTGCATCACGCTCATTGTCTCAGGTAGGTACCTACCTACACAGCATGTATCTATGCATGTGCGAACTGCCAGACAACCGACAATGCCAGCATCCTGCAAGCCTGCAGCTGGTGCAGTATTCGCCTCGCCTCGCCTCACTTCCATTCCATTTGCTTCGTCCTGGTCCCTGTCCTGGTCCCTGTCCCGTTCCCTCCCCGTCCCTTCGCTTCGCCTCGCCTGGATGGCTGACAACACAATACTGTACAGCAGACAGCCTAAGGTAGTACAGTAAATTTACGGTAGCAAATTTACCTCCCTCCCTGCCTGCCTGCCTGCCTACCTTACTACCTAGTAACTTCGTAGGGTACCTAAGGTATGGTATGTAAGTACGTCGTGGGAGTTCTCAGCTGTTCAGCTTTCACAACACCAGCACCTTTCCCTAGGCCTTCCATGGCGATCGCGGCCGCGGCCGCGGCCACGACACATCAATTCACCAACGCAGTCTCGCAGTCCACCTAACGAAGTAACGCAAGGCTCCCAGTCGCAGGCAGCAGGCAGCCAGTCGACGCTGACTTGCAGTACAGTACTCGGCATGCGGCTGACAATGAGCCCCAACTTTGGCCTCGCCTCAAGGCGCTTTCGTGCAACCTGGAGATGGCATTTCTTTGGTCAAGGCGCATGCATGCCGGTGCTCCTTGCCACTTTCCGAGCGAATAGCTGGAGAAGCTTTCATGTCCCCTAACTCGGACGAGGCAACACGGTGAGAGAGGCAAACCACTGGAGGCTCGGCGTTGTGCTGCCTGGTCATGCAACTGGAGGCTGAACTTCCGATCGAGGGAAGCGGCCGGCGAGTGACGAGGCTGTGGTGGCTCGACTCCAATTATATATATGGCCTTGAGACTCCGCAACTTCCAAACTGTTCCGAGTGAACCCTCTGGCCGTTTATCAAATTTGGCTCTGATCCTTTTGCACACTCATTACAGTCGCGTTGCGTTGATGCGCCGCCCAGAGGCTAGAGATGTCTTCCGATTCCAGCGATTCGGGCAATGACAGACCTCAGAATCCACCTCCGCCTTCAGCCAAGCCGAAAAAGAGAAAGAAGCATGTTCCGCCGCAAGAAACGATCAATAAAATCTGGTCGCGTTTCTCCGTGAAGAAATTCACTAAAGCGACTGTTGTACTGCCCTTCGCAAGCTCCACTAGCCAGCCTGCAACCGACCTGTCCAGACCTCCTCAAACCGCTACAGACAACCTGCTTGTGTCAGAGGATTTCGACCGAGCAGTGCAAGAATGTCGGACGAGAGTGAAGAAGCTGATCCAGGAATGCCGAAGAGTAAACATGAGATATCGTGACCCGGACTTCGATATTGATTGGGATCTAAAGATGAAAAGAGGCTATTGTCTAAACAATTTGAAGAACAATAAATTTGTGATTAGCGGCAGTGCCTACTCGACCTCCACGACCAAGTCACCTAAGGCTGTTAAGAGGGTGCATGAGATCTTCGATAGGCCAACGTTTCTCGCCGATGAATTATCGCCAGCGGACGTCAAGCAGGGAAGCCTAGGAGATTGTTGGTTGATGGCTAGTCTGACTGCTCTGGCCAACATGGATGTTGGTATTCAGCGAATCTGTGTTGAGTACGATACGAGTGAGCTTGGTGGCTCCTTTGTCCGAGGCTTCGCTGATGGGAATACAGAAATTGGAATCTATGGCTTCGTGTTTCACAGAGGTAAATATGACTTACTTTCCTTTCCTTTGCCCTGTCATGTTAAGCTAGTATTTCGAGGCTTCAACTCAGCGAGTATTGGAAATTTAGTTCTCGATCGAAAGGACATTTCATTCTCATTGATTCAGCTAGCGTAATCTCTTGTTGTCAATGGATAACAGCAAACATTCTCTCTAGACGGAGAATGGATCATCTCCACCATCGACGATAAACTATTCCTAAAGTCGCCTGACTGGGATTCACCTTCTGTTCAACGACACTTGCTGGAACAGACTGACAGAGAAGATGTCGAGTTGGAATACGGGAAGACTTACCAGAGTGGTTCACAGTCATTATTTTTTGCACAGTGTCGTGATCAGAACGAAACATGGCTACCTTTACTGGAGAAGGCCTATGCTAAGGCACATGGAGATTATGCATCTCTCCAAGGAGGTTGGATTGGGTAATTGAGTGAGCTTCTGGTACACCCCTTACAGAGCTGACTTCTCCAGGGAGGGCCTTGAGGATCTTACAGGTGGCGTTACTACCGAACTGCTCACCTCGGACATTCTTGATACAGACGAATTTTGGAACAACGAGATACTCAAAGTCAACACAGAATTTCTGTTCGGCTGCTCGACTGGCTTGCTCGATGGTGGTTATGGCAGCAGAGATGGTATTTCTGAAGGTCATGCGTATGTCATCATGGAAGCTCGTGAGATTTCAACTGGTCAGCGCCTAGTCAAGCTTCGGTGAGTTCATTCCCATGCAAGAATGTTACTTACTAACATTGCCAGGAATCCATGGGGAAAAGGAAAGAAAGGTAATTGGGAAGGTGCTTGGTCTGACGGAAGCAAGGAGTTTACTCCGGAGCTACAAATCGAGCTGAACCATAATTTCGGCAGTGACAGTGTCTTCTGGATCTCGTATCAAGATCTTCTCCGGAAGTATCAGCACTTCGATCGCACTCGCCTGTTCATGGATTGTCCAGACTGGCGGATTACTCAAAAGTGGATCAGTGTTGAGGTGCCTTGGAAGGCAGAATTTGAACAAAAATACCGGATCGTCTTGAAGAAGGAATCGCCAGTCGTCTTAGTGCTTAGCCAACTCGATGATAGGTTCTTCGAGGGGCTGCAAGGACAGTATACATTCCGGCTCCAGTTTCGATTGCACGAGGTAGATTCTGTCGGGGAGAATGACTATATTGTGCGGAGTCATGGCAATTATCTCATGGAGCGAAGCGTGGTGACGGAGCTCAAGAGTCTACCAGCTGGAGTTTACGCTGTCTTCATCATGGTCGTTGCTGACCGGGACACACATAGTCCTTCGGTTGAAGATGTTGTCAAGGCGCAGTGCAGACGAAGAGTAGACAATGATAAACTAGCTCAAGTTGGCATGTCTTACGATATCGCTCACAGCAAAGGATCCCCTCATTCGGAGTCAAGAGACTTAGCACGAAAAGCACAGGACAAGGCGAAAGCTCGTGAATCACGAATCGCGACCCGGAAGAAGAATTGGGAAAAGAGACATTTGAGTCGCGAGATTGTGAGGAAGCAAGATAAAAAGAATCGCGAGAAGCGAGAGCGGAGAGAAGCGAAAGATGTTGCTGAGCAGAAGATGGAAGAGAAGGAGCCGAAAGATAAATCTGTCCAAACGGAAGATGCTAAGGAGGTTACTTTTGAGAAGGACGACAAGTCGGTGCAGACGGAAGATCCATCCAAGCCACCTCCTGAACAAGATCAGGCAAATGTATGTTCCAATACGCATGCACAATTTTCGACTCCGAAAGACACAGACAAAGGCGTACAAACAGAAGAGACCTGTGGAGTATCGGTTCCAGATTGTCGAGGCACACCAGACACACCCAACAGCACCATGGCCGGCTCACCACCTCCACTGGTTCGTGTTCCACCCATCCATCGTGGACCCCCGCCGCCGCCTCCGCCCTGTTCCCGCAATCGCAAGAGATCCACAGACCGGCACGAATACATCACATCAGAAGGCGAGTCAAGCGCTAGTCCTATCTCCGACTTCGATGACATGTATAGCGACGATGATCCAACTCTCCAGCCTAGACCAGTGAACACCACTGCTACGCCAGGCGCGAAGACCAGGAGCAACAGTGATGATGAGGATGAGACGGAGCCATGGAATGCGATTTGTATTGTTGGATTTAGAGTTTATAGTAAAGACGAAGGGTTGGAGCTGTTGATTTGGGATGAGCGATTGGATGCGATGACCCAAATCACCAAGAGGGCATCGGCCGTCAAGGAGGACAACGGCGCTGATGGGGATGGTGAAGATGATGCTGTGGAGGCAGAAGAGAAGCGCGTCAAGGATTCCAAGGACTTAAGAAGGAAAACGGGATGACGGCTATGGAGCCATAGCAGGGAGTCGGACAAAGCCGTACACGATGTTGGTCTCCCAGCACAAACCTACCTGGCCAACCGAATAACCCCCCAGGTTCTTTACCCTACTAGACTACTTAGCATGGACACATTGTCTGCGTCTCTGTATATTAGTCCTTGCCCTCTGCGGGCTTTTCATATACTATCTTATCTGGGTTGGTCCTGTTGCACTGCAGTAGCATTTAGCAAGAGATAAGGTAGAGAGAATAAGCAGAATCAGAAGCGAAATACCTCAAGGTCAAGAGCTACGTACGTACCTAGGTAGGCACCTTCAGGTACCAGTAGCTGGCGGTCTCTCAGAGGCTCACGTCCATTATGACTTCTCGGTGCTGGGTCGGACGTCCGAAAGCGGACAGGACACCGCAGAGCAGGGCGAGGCGTTGGAATTGCTGCTTCCATTGCTGTGCTGTGCTGTGCTCTGAGTGAATCTGGGTACCTAGGTAGGTAGGTAGGTAGGTTCCTTCCCGATTGGGATCGCAACGTGCTCGTTTCCCATGGCGGGATTACTTCACCTCCGCCGCTTCTTTAGATAAGGTAGGTACTACCTATACCTATACCTATACCTATACCTATATCTTAGGTACCTCCTCTCCCTATCAACCTTGGAGCAAAGCACCTAAGCAAATTAACGTAACTTAACAACTTTCTTCCACCCTCCCCTCTTCTCTGCCTCCTTCACTTCTGACACACGCACGCACTCCACATCCATTCCTCGTCATCGATCACCGTCACCGTCACCGTCACCGTCACCGTCACGGCCACCTTCACCTTACAATACCATTCGAGTGCGGACGAGAGACTCATACCTAAGTATTCCTATCCTATGCGACGAGTGCTGTCCAGATTACCCTTTCGGCGCCAGCGAGGACAGGTCAAGGTCGGCCACCAGTAGTATGGTCCATTCCGGCATCGAACCTAGACGAAAAACTCACAAACTCACCTGCACGGTCAAAATAATTCGACAGATAAAGCTAGACACAGCTTCTGACATCGAACATAGCTTCTTGTACCACCACACCGTGTTATATTACCAGTGTTCCCACGTGCAGGTAAATGTACGGCAGGAAAGCGCCCAGAAACATGTGTGAGTATATTGTTGGCCGCCGGACATCTAGATCAACCGTCTGCCAGTCAAAGAACCCCAGCTCTTGCTCTGAGCCACCACCTCCAGCTAAGAAGCCCGCAGCGGCTAAACTCGCAGAATGTTCCAAGGCTAAGAATTCTTCGTGTTCCTGCTGCAATCTTGGTTCCAGAGCCCGGTCCAGGTCTCCTAGGACACAGGTCCACGTAACTGACTTTGACACCTCGTCAGACGAATTGAGTGGTGGCGAGAGTAGCAGAGGCGTGCGCGAGGAGAAGGTACTGAAGTCTGCTCTGAAGAAGCCTGCGTTGAAGGTGTTACCCAAGAAGACTTTATCTGAGGTATGCAAGACCTCGAAGCGCGAAGCGTCAGAATGTGAATGTGTATACTGCCTCAAGCTTCTGCTCAGCCAGGTAAAGATTGACATCGAGAAGAAGCAGGACCAGAAGAAGCACGTCAGCTTCGACAACAGGTAAGAGTCATATCATCTCTATTTGCCTTCTTTGAGCGCGGTTGAACGACTCACCTTCAAATACTCGACCTTGACAGATACAGCTGTCAATCATGGAGTGAATTGCAAACTGACATTTTATAGCTTTGAAAAGCCACCGGCCAAGGAGAAGAGTAACAGCGAGAAACAAAAGACCCAAAAGACTAGAGGCCAGAACCAAAACAAAAGCCAAAGCTATCAGCAAGACCAGCAAGTAGGCAATCAGAATAAGGTTCAGAGCTTGCAGATAGGTGAAACGAACGAGAATCGAGGCCAGGAAGGACAGCAGGTGAATGTCCAGCGGCAACGCAGCCAGAACCAGAATTTTATGCCATACACGCGACACACCCACAGCTCAGCTTACATCAATCCAGGCAACCTTCCGTTCTCCATAAATATCCCAATTGGGACTTTTTCATCGAGATACTTACCAATGACGACCAGGAAAATGAGCTCCGAGCGTATTTTGACGCCTTCCAGGGCCGATGTCGTTCTGAGGGAGGATGTCATCGAATGCAGCTCTGATCCGAGACCAAATGCTTTCTTCGATGTCAATTCAAGAGTTCTACGCGTCTATCATGGGCCAATTTATGGCAATCCGTTTTCCAGTGTGCCTGCGAACTCGATTCACATTGGAGCGTTCGCGCCAAGATTCTGTGGTCCTCCCCGAGCCATGACTGGTCAACATACTTACGCTGGCCCTCCTCCAACACCTCAACAGGGTAACGTCTCTTCCAGTCAGGGTAACAGGGGAAATCCGAGATACTATCCAGCTGGTAATAATGAAAATTGCGCACCGAATACGAACCACAATGACTGGGGCAGCTTTCAGGCCGGAGTCAATGGAGCTAATCGCGGATCACCAAATAATGCTTGGGGAGGCTCATGGGGAGACAACGGAGGGCGCATGCCAGGAGCCTGGATCAATGACAACAATGCCAACCAGAACAATTGCAATGGATGGGGTGGTGATAATCAGAACACGAAGCAGCATAACGGAAACTCTGGTCGGGCAAGCAATGCCAGCGGGGCCTTCTCAAACAACCAATCCTCCGAACAATACGTATGTGGAACGCAGAATCCAACCGAGTTCAACCAGAATGACACCAACAACTCGTCTGGCTGGGACGGTAACAACCAATCTTCAGCTGAAGACAACAGCAATTCTGGCCCGAATGGTACTGGAAATTCCAAGTGAGTGATTGAGATTCGCAGACATCTAGAATATTTTGAATTGACTTTCCGAAGTCATAATAACAAAGATTTGAGCTGGGGAGGTAATGGAGATTCGAGGTTTGTTATTGAAAGCCACGTGCGGATGAGTATCAAATTGACTACTCGCTTAGCAACAGCAACAACAACAACCCCAATTGGGGCGGCGTAATTAATAATTCGAAGTCAGCTTCTCGAGACCTTCCATGTAAGGGGTTTTTTTTCTAACATATGGCATAGCAATAATAAGAGCTCATCCAGTTGGGGAGGCGGAAATGCCGATTCCAAGTAAGATCGGATGCTGTCAAAATCCTGGCAACAAAATTTGACATTATGTGTAGTAATAACAACTCGAACGGTTGGAATGGCAACAACCAATCGTCGTGGCAAAACGATAACTCGTCAAATTCTGGAAATAACAATCAGTCGTCGGGCCAGAACAACGATTCCTCAGGCTGGGGCAATAACTACCAATCGTCGGGTCAAAACAACGGCAGTTCGTCGGACTGGGGACATTCCAAGTGAGCTCTATATTCCGTCCTCCAAAGACATAAAGGGCTAACAGATCTAAGCAACGACAATAATAATTATGGATGGGGCGATGGTAGCAACCAGAACAACCAGTTCTGTGGCCAGAATAATTCTTCGACCTGGGGAGGGAATGGCGATTCGGGGTAAGCATAAAAATATGTTCCAGATCTCTACAGTACTGATACGGGCTTCCAAAGCAACGTTAACAACAATCACGACAACCCCGGAAGGGATGACAATGACCTGTCTGGTCAGGATAATGGCAATGTTTCGAAGTGGGAAGGAATTGGTAATTCAAAGTAAGCCTTCCATAGAATCTAGGCTCCGAGAAGACTAAAAGTAGCAAAGCAACAAAAACTCGTCTAGCTGGGAAGGTAGTGGGAATTTCAAGTAGGCCCAGAGCGAGAATCCAAAGACATGAGCAATGGACGTTCTGACTTATGACGAAGCAGCAACAATTCGTCTGGCTGGGGAGAAACCTCCAAGTGAGTACCTAAAGCACGCACCCTTCTCGCGATGATCATAGTAATCGTTCATTCAGTAATACCCAGTCATACAACAGTAGTACAGGCTGGCAGAACGGAGACAACCCAAGCATGTCAGTGACCTTCCCCAGACGAACTTCTCGATGCTGACCTTCGCCTCAAAGAAACAACCAGTCTAACAACAGCAATAGCGGATGGCAGAACGGAGGCGGGTCACAAAATGGCGGGGGCCGGAACGAGTATATTGATCCGCTTTGTAGCCATACTTTTTCTGATTGTGATAACTGACTTCAAGTGAAGCAACAACCAATCCAGCAACCAGTCGAACAACAAGAATGGATGGCAAAGTGGGAGTGGCTGGAGCGAGTAAATGGACCTCTTCGCACAATTTGCGTGTAGATCCGAGAACTGATATCGGTTGTAGTAATAACCAAACCAGTAATAATAACAACAATAACAGTGTCTGGCAGAATGAAGTCGGCTCACAGAACGGAAGAGGTTGGAATAGGTAAGCATGTTCTTCCTAGAACTGACAGAGAGTAATTTTCCAAAGACAAGAACTGACGTCCATTGAAGCAAAAATCAGTCAAACAACCACAACAACACATCTTCTGGTTCAGGCTCGCAGACAGGAAACAACGGCGGTGGCCGGTCAGACTCGTGGAGTGGTGGGGGAGAAGCCACTTCTGGAAAGGCAATGAATGGTTGGTAAACATTCGATGGGATGATACCAGGCAGCCTCAAGCGTTTTGATTGTGATCAGGGTGAGTGATTCTACCTTTTGATTTTCCTTGATGTAGCAATGGCTTCCTAGGGAATGTCGGGACATATGGTTGACTTTGCGCACAGAAGCTCGCCCATACTGCACTCTTGCATTGAGAGCTAGCCCTGGAGTGGGTACATGGATCATTATTTGCTGTAAATGATCCAAGTTTCCCAGCATATTACTTTCGTGAATTTACAAGGGACTAATAGGTCGATCCATGGCTTAACTTTGGCGCTACTATGCAGTATTTTTCAGAGCAAAGACCTGTCAATTTTAGTGTAACATTACAGAATATCATTTGTATCAAAATTACCTATTATTTTTTGACCTCTTTCACTATACTACATTACAAGTCTTTCGAACTGGAGTCGTGTTGTTGCCTTTACTTCCAATTAAGATAATTGAAGTATTGAATAGTTTGAAGAAGCTGGCAGGTGAAGATACACTTCTGCCTGATTGCTAGTATTCGGCGACTACAGCTGTTCCTAACTACCTAGTTAGAATCCAAGGGACCGATTTTCCACCCTTATCTAAATCCACCCCCTCCCACCTCCTCCCGCTTCTCTGAGTCCTACCTCCTTATATTACAACTACCTTCTATACTTAGATTTTTAGAAGAATTAAAGATTAATATATATCAAATCACTTCTGTGTTTTGTTTTTTAGTATAATATTATATTAATAGAATAATTTTGATTTTCTTAATATAATAGACTAATTATGATAGGCGAGTCACGTGAGTAAAGCTAATATTATAAGGCTGTAAGGCTAGAGTTATATAACAAACCTAGGACTAGCTTAGTTCGCTAGTAGTTATATCTCTCTTACTTATTTTTAAAGCTTCTTAAAAACCTCTTCTTTTTATTATCTTTTTTACTTTATATTATAACTACTAACAAATATTTATTATATTATTATATTAGAAAAGACTAACCTTACTTATAAAGGTCTTAATATCTACTTCTACTAAATTCCTTAAGTACTTTTTAAGTATAATTAAGTTATATTTTTAGCTCTTTTTTTTCTACTTTACTTCTTATACTTTATTATTTCCTTAAGTACTTTCTAAGTATAATTAAGTTATATTTATAACTTAAGTATTACTTTTTACTTTTATTTTTATATTTATACTTCCTTATAAGTAATCTTAATCTCTTCTAGAAGATAAATAAAATATAATATAATATTCTTCTTATAGTTAAACTTACTATATTTCTAATACTAAAAGAAAGAAATCCGCTTTTAAGCTCTTCTTTTAATTATATTACGCCTTATAAACGCGGTATAAGAGGAAAGAATAATATAATCCTCTTAATCTCTTATAGTAATATTATATCTCCTATTAAAGATAACTCTTAAGATTAGTAGGATTACTTCTTAAAAGAATATTTAATTCTTATACTAGTAATTAAGGCCTTAAAAAGCTCTAAAGAACTCTAAAGATTAGTTAAGCGCTAGGATAAGTAAGATAAAAACCTTCTTAGAATTATAAACATATTAAAGAACTTAACTATTAAGTCTAAGAAGCTAAAGGTATTAAGCTTCTAATAATAAGCTCTTAACCTAAGGGATAATAATAACTTTAATAATAGTAGATTATTTAGAAATAACTAAGATAATACCCCCTAGGTATTAATAGAGCCTACTTTTATTTACTATAAATACTAAAAGAGGCTCTTACTTAAACTATATATTAATAAGTTCTTTAGTACTTTTAATAGCTTCAAATAATTATTAGTATTATACTAGTAAATAAATAATAAGTGTATATTAATATATATTAAAATCTAAGGTTTAGTTTAAAGGTATTTAAAAGTATATATTATAAAGAGTATCTATAAGTTAGAATATATACTACCTCCTAAATAGCCCCCGGTTTATATCTAAAAGGAGTTTATCTTCTAATTAGGATTACTTATACTCTTTAACTTCCTTTTATATTTCTATAGTATAAGTCTATAGATTAATACTAGTAAAACTTCTTTTAGAAATAAAAGGTTTCTAATAATTATAAAAGAAATAAAAGAGAGAATATAGATATAATAAAAAGAATTAGAGATATAATAAAGTAATAAATATTTAATTTATATACTTTAGTCACTAGAATATCTTTAGTTACTATCTGAAAGTACCTCTCTTATTATATAAGGATATAAATAAATTATAATTTATAACTAAACTACGCTTTAAAATATAAAGAATATATATAAACTCGTAGAGAATTAAATAATATTATTATTAAGTTAATATAAGGTTCCAGGGAGTCGGAGGGTTAATATTCTATCTAGTAGTAGTTAATAATATAGAAGTAGAAAATAATAGTAATAGCTAAGTAATAATAGTAAATAATATTATATTATATCTAAATTAGGCCTGAATTATATATATTTATTTATATAAAGATAGCCTCCCCTTTTAAAACTTTCTTTTTTCTCTATTAAATAATAATAATAATAATAACTATAAGTTTAGAATTAATAGTATTTACTTTAGAGATTCTTATTAACTAAGAGATTTCTTTAAAAGATATTAAATAAATTAAGTAATTTAAGAGTAAATATATCTTATTCTAAAAGTTAGCGTAGTAGTAGAGCTCTTTATTAATACTAATTAGTACTAATTCCCTGCTTTCTTAATACCTTTCTAACTATATTTTATATATAATACTATAGATATATTAATTATTAGAAGAAAAGTAATCTAAAATTATATAAATTCTTAAGTTCTATAAGCTTAAAATACTAGTATTATACTAAGAATAAGAATAAATACGAACTTATAAGTATATCTTACTTAAATCCTTTTTATAACCCTTTTAATAATAACTCTTTATAACTAATAGAAGTAGATCCTAGTATATATAACTACTAAATATTATATCTTTACTAATACTCTTACTAGTAGAGATAAAGACTTTCTTCTTAAAGCTAGTACTACTCTTTAGAATATTATCTTTATTACTAATACTAATATACTAAAAGATATAATATTAGCTACGGGAATTATATTAGTAAAGATCTATATTATATATAGTAAGATAGCTAGAATCGCGGAATAGAATACTATAAGTATTTCCTTTTTCTTAATTAACTTCTTTACTTCCTTTTATTAGACGTGATTTAATAGCTTATATTATAAGAGATACTTATAGTATTATAGAAGTTAGGAATTATATTAGGGAAGCGGAAAGTTCTATTAGATAATCCGAGTCTATTAAAACGTTATATAAGGATAAGTACTTATAGTATTCCCGGAGGTAGTTCAGAGAAGAGTTTAAATAGTAGTTCTAGTAGTTCTAGTTCTAGTAGTAGTTCTAGTAATAGAAGTAGCTTAAGTACTTATTCTTCTAGTTTTACTATAATTAATTAGCCTTTTAAAGCAGAGAAGAGTAATAATAATACTCTAATACTTAACTTAACTTTTTTATCTCCTTTTCCCTAAGAGAAAAGAGAAACTACTAATAGTAGTCCTAAAGAGAATAATATATAGAAGTAAGGGGTTCTTAGCTCTATTTCAGATTAGTTTTATAGTTAGTTCTTTATAATAATATCTTCTTTATACTTTTATATAAGAGTAGCTTTTTATAATAAAACTAGTAATTAGTTACTATTAGAGTATTATTATAAAGCTACTTATTAACGCTTTAAATTAAAGAGTAATTATCTTGAAATAAAAGTTATTCCTATTATAATATCTTACTTAATTATAAAGAAATAAATAAGTAATAAAAGAGAGTTTATAAGAAAATTAATATAAGAAAAATAAGTAAACGTATTAGAATACTCTTACTATAAGTATAAATTAACTTTATTTAACTTCTCTACTTATCTCTCTACTTTTACTATTAACTAGTTAGTATTAATAAACTCTTAGAGAGCTTTATTTAGACTAGCTTTTATTATAGCGTTAGTAAGGTTACTTACTTTATTAATCTATCGTATCTCTATTAGTTCTCTACGCTTATATAATTAACGAATTACTATAATATTAATTATTAAATACTTCTCTTTTATAATACTAAGTTTAATAATATATTTATGAAGGAACAGAGAATTAGTATAAACTATAGTAGGAAGCCTTAGAAGACTTAGTTTATTAGTTATTATATTAACTATAGTCGCTAGAGATATTAATATATTAATCCTTATTACTATAGTATATAATTCTGAAGTAAGTACTACTTAAGTAATTCTCTTATACTTTATAGAACTTATATATATTAGATTACTAAAAAAAGAGAACTCTTAAAACTTCTCTAATTTAGTTCTGATTACTAGTATAAAACTGATTTAGAAGCTAAGGTCTTTATTATTTATAAAAGATCTATTAATAAAGGTATAGATTTTTATAGAACTTAAGTCTATAGGAATATACTATAGACCTCTCCTTAGGTTCTTTATCTACTACTTAAGATATAAATTCAAGGCCTTAATATTATTAAGTATTAGATTTTAGTACTATACTACTACTAATAAGTTAAATATAGCTTCTAGCTAATAAATCGTTATAAGGTAAGCTCTATAAGCTTATTACTTTATATAAACCTTTATATAATCTCCCTTAGTAATATTAACTTATTTAAGCCTTATACCTTAATCCTTCTAAGATATATAAAAGCTACCTTCTTTTATATAAATAGTATACTTATTAAATATTAGCGATTCGGATTAGTTTAGGACTTATATTAGTTTAGTTATAAAGCCGGCTTAATTAATCGCTTCTTATTCCCTTACTAAGAATATCTTATCTCTTAGAATAAAAGTATTATCTGTTTATATTCTTATAATTCTGAACTTATTAGTTCCTTTAGTACTTACTAAGAGGTATAAATTATAAGTTAATATTTCTATCTAAAAGCTTCTTATATAATACTTATAGTATATATTAAACTAGTAGTTTCTAGACTTAAGTATATTATATAATAGAAGTACTACTATAAATATTATTCTAAATAGAAACTCGTTAGTAATTTCTTCTAGTAGCTATATAAATATCTTATAAAGAAGCTTTATTACTACTTAAGTATAAGCTTAAGTAATATCTTATATTACTAGCTTTAATTCAGAGTTATTCCGGATATATTTCAGATAACTAAGTATTATAGCTAAGTATATAATAAGTCTTTAACTAACTTATTAGATTATTAGTAATTAAGTTAAGATCTCTTATTTACTTTTATTATTAAAGTATTAAATAATAAGCTTAGATTTCTTATATAAGCTTACTATCTCTTTACTCTTAACTTTATTTACTATTCTAGACTTAAAGATATATTAGTCTTTTACTCTAGAGT